TACATACCCTACATTGGCCGAATTCTAGGGGCATGCATACCAAGGGTTTTCCAATCCAATTCAACATTTCCACACACCATACAATCCTATAATTAACTCATACCAATACTCCACAACTCAATTACACAATCCTACAACCAAGCCATTTCACAAAGTCATGAACATCATCATCATAATTGCCTAAGTTAACAAATAATTTCTCAACAATTTTTATGGTTTCTATCACTCTAAAACATCATTCTAAGCCACTTTTATCTAATACACAATTTCAATTTGAGCTCTCTAACTACATCAATTCATGCAAAATAGCTCTAGGTCACCAAAATTCAAATCCATGATTCAACCAATGAAATGTGTTGAAACTTACCCACAAGCAAGGTCTATGACTCCTCCAAGTGATATCCAAGCAATGGCTTGAACAAACAACCCAAGGACACCAATCTACTCACTTTGGCAGCGGGTTTAGATGGGGGTTTTCTCCCAAATGAGTGAGTTTCAAGAGCAACCAATAGGTGGGTTGTGTTTGGATGGTGATTTACTTAAACTTTGATGTGCAACACTTTGGCTTTTGGAAAGGATTTGATGATGTTTTGGTTGAAACAATTTTCAAACCAAACTTTGCCCATCCATTGTTAGTATATGGATGTCCTAGAGACAATCTTTTGATTAGATTAGGACATAAGTGGACCTTTGTATTCGCAGATAAATAAAAGCATTCTTTATCCTGTTTCATATTTTGTCTCGATATTACTGTTAATATTATAAATGAGTAACTGGATAAACCCCTTGGAATAAAATATGTATCTCTTGAGTATCTGTGATGAGATCACGATCATGAGGATTCAAGGATACTAGATGTTTATTCCTAATTTTATGTTCCTAGTCTAGAGACACTGAGAATGAGGATCAGTGATCTCGGGTAAGACTAGCACGACTTATCTACTTGTATTCGGATGCAAGGTAAAGACCTCATGAGCTACAGATATGGAGATGTCTTAGCTAAAGTCGTGGGTGAACCTATAAGGGTATAGCTCGCACTGAACAGACCTACAAAGAAACTCTATGAGGAAATCTCACAGAGAGTATCATTAGAGTAGTCTCTTTATATTTGGGTATGTCTTTCCTTAGACCAGAAGTTATTGCATAGATTGTGTTCTAGAAGGCATGCTTTGACTGGATACCTCGTCTGCCTGAAACATGGAGACTCATAGGTATACTGTTGGGCTTGTCCTGAAAGAGCACAGGGCTAGGGGGTGATAAGCTGAAGGAATTCGTCAAATCTCTCTGAGAGATTAGGTTATCTGTAAACCGAAGAAATTGGGATGACATTTATAGGGACTCGGGAATCTATGCATAGTATAAGAGATCATGAGATGATCTGCCTTTAGAGTCAGTAAATTGAAGATTTCCTATTTCGAATAAAGCTTACCCTAAATCGCAAGGGTTGATACGTTTCCTTACCCTAGGTTTTATGGGAAGATAACCGAGACGAAAGGAAATACATACGACAACAAAATATGTGTAATAGGATGATTATGTCATTAACCTAACTAGCTCTGGGGCAACAAAGCATTGCTAGTGCTCTGTGTTGTCATTAGATGAGTTGTGGGCTTATTGGGCCCAAGCTCATTTATGCCAGTGGCTATGTTGGGCCTAATGGGTCACACACTAACACCTTATTGTCATGACAATATAGTATTAAAGGTATTGGGCCTAATAATGGTTGTTAGCCCAAGAAGAAGTTTGGAAGCCCACCAAAAAAGGAAAAAAGAGCGCATGGTTAGTTAATGGGCTTGGATGGTCCAAGACATTACTAATTAATTTAATTAGTTAAATTAATTATCAAATGTTTAAATTTTGAATTTGAATTTTGAATTTTGAATTTTGAATTTTGAATTTAAATTTTGAAATTCGAATTTTGAATTTTGAATTTGAAATTTGAAATTTGAATTTTGAATTTTGAATTTGAATTTTGAATTTGAATTTTGAATTTGAAATTTGAATTTGAATTTGGAATTTGAATTTGAATTTGAATTTAAAATTTAAATATTTGAACGTTTGAATTCAAATGTTTGAATTCGAATTTGAATTGGCTATGAAAAGTTGTTTCATAACAAAAGGATAAGATAAGATCTTGTTGGAACAAATCCCAAATATCAAGAGGAGATCTTTGAGAATCTTCTAGTGAGGATATGGGGCGCTGATTTTGGTATCTGATGATGGTCATAGGATCAACCAAATGAGCTCCAGTCAGATTTGGTTTGTTGAGAGAATGAGTGAGACAGTTGGTTCAAGTTTGAATGCAACTGCTCAACGTATCTGGACTGTTATGAGGCCAAGTGGGGCGCACCATATGGTTGGCCATATGATGGTTGTTGAGTCAGATTCTTGTTGAGATATTCACTTGATATCATGAGGATGTGAGAGGAGGTTGTTGACAAGATTTGAATTTTACAACAACTCCACTCATCGCCCCTAGTGTGCGCTACATAGGGCCTTATTTGAGTGAAGAAAATCTGATTTTAATTAATTCATTCTCTCATCTCCTTGTGGGTTCCTTTTGTCAGGTTTTTCTTAAGAGAGTTTTGAAATAACCTAGCCTTTTTCAAAGTAAATCCATGCGTCACTTTTGTGTCTGTTCTTGCTGAATATTCACTCTTCTAAACACCTTGACCTAGCTTCCTCCTTCACACATTGGGCGCATAGCTTGCCTCCATTGGTGTTTTCGTTGGTGGCCTTGAAGAAGAGTTCTTTCGTCTTGACAAAGGGTGGTGTGGATCAACATTAGAGGGCTTGCATCTTCAAGCCTTATCTTGATCATCCTCAAGTTTTGGAAAGCAAACAAGGTAACATCCATGCCCTAAAGAATGTTTCTTGATATGGTATGTGTTATTTTGCTCGAAAAATTTTGTTTTTCCCTCTCACATGCCTCGACCTTCAAGGTCAGTTTCTTTCATCCATGGAGGAAGCCGCGGGTTTGAGAGGAAGGAGGAGAGAAAAGATGCTGATTTTTGTGTTGTCCTATGTGGCCTAAGTCCACTTAAGTAGGGTGGGTCCCACCGCCACCTCACACGTTTCAAACTAATTCAAATCTCCCGCCTATTCCACTAAACGTCCATAATTTTCTAAACTATTTAGAAACTCTAATTTTTAACATTAACCATTGTCCTCTAATTGTTATTGATCAGATGAATCCGAAGTTTTCCGGTCGTTCAGAGAAATAACAGTTTTAAGCTGTTATGCGCGTTGTGGGCACGCTTCCCCAAACACTCTAATTTTCATCAATTTTCACCAGAAATCATATTTTCTAGTCCTATGTACCATTTATAACTTATATCCAAGCCTAGAGCTCAAAATTCATTTGACACGCTTTACGGTGCAACTGTACCGCGATATTTTTACCCGGTAAAAACACTATTCATCAAATTTCCAGAAACTTGGCTAACCACTCAATTTTTCATTCTGAATCCATTTCCAGGATTAGTTTCCCCATTTGAGACCTTCTACTCTATTTTACTTTCCTAGGGTTACGTGTTTAGCAACTTACTATTTTACCCTTCTTATGTATTTTGACCCTAATTTCAGAATCTTCACTAATCCTACCCCTTAATCCATATTTAATATATAATTATATGTTTTAAAAATACGAAGTGTTATATTTAAGCCTCCCTGATTATATATGAAATTTTACGTGGCGCCCTTAAGCGCCCACTTCGAATTTGAACTTCATTCTTGATTCGCGCTTAAGCCTTGAGTTGGGGGCTTAAGCGCTCTTTGGCAATGGCTTTTGGCTTCTTTTGAATTTTTGGGGGCTTAAGCTCCGAAATGAAAGCTTAAGCCTTCTCTTCAAGAAACAGAATTTTCTTTATTTTCTTAACTTGAGATCTTCAATCTTCAAGTTCTTGATCCTTCAATCTCCATGCTTCATATTTGCTTCTATTTAACATCAAATTCCTTTAAAATAAGCAAATATATATTATTTAATCCATAATTCATAAAGTTTATGTTTTTATATCAAAACCTTATTTTTTCACTTATTTAACTTGATAATACATATAAATTTAGTCCATAACATAAGATAAACTAAAAGTTTATCAATGAACTTTCACATGGTTCATAACATGTGACTCTTTGTTTTTTCATGACTTCCATGTTTAAAAATGCATATAAGATATGTCCTTATATAAGACTCTTTGCACATATTTATTCTTATTTTATTCTTTCTTTTATTTTTTTCTACGCTTCATTTTCCTTTCTTTCATATTTCACTTTCTCTTATATTCTCCATCAAATTCACAATAAATTTTACTTATATTTATAAATATTTGAATTTATATAATTTTTAGTTTTTTAAATAATAAAAATTTTGATAAAAGAAAAGTTTGACCCACGGCGCTACCCTAACCCAGCCCACTAAATTAAAAGCTTTTGAGGGTTAGGGCTAAAAAAGGCTCTACCACAAAAGACCCTAATGTGTTAGGGCCATTGTTGTTAAAATCTCGATTTATCACTATAATTTTACGTTTTTATGATTTCTTTTTTCATCAAAACGATTTTACTAATATTCCAAACACTTTCACATTTTTTACGATTTTTTAATCCCCTTCCGATTTTACTTAAGATCTCGATTTTAACAACATTGGTTAGGGCCAAATATAATACTTTGCAGGCTGGCTCGGGGGTGTTAACCTATTTTGAAAAGGCATATTAATAATCCTTTAAATTTTGATTAGCATCGTATGCATAACTACATGGAGCCAAAAACATCATTCAAGAAAGAGAAAGATGAGAGTACAAACAATGCAAAAAATGATGAAATGAAATGGGAAAAAAATATATGAATACATGTCAATTCTTCTTATTCTGCTCTGAGCATCTTCTCCTTTTTTTACTTTAAGAAAATCTCGTTATTAACCTTCATTGTTCTTCCCTTTGCCATATATAGTTCTCCTTGTGATTGCCCTTTCCTCATGAGCATAGAATATTAATTAATACTTTTCTCAACACCTAGGGAGGTCACTTGGAGGTGGTAATAGAGATTCATTTGGTCCTTTACCATTGTCCACAACAAATGCCATCTTCAGTCCCCATGTTGTATGAATTTCCAAATGGCAATGCATAAACCATACCCCTAACAAAACAGAATACCATATATCATTATATACATAAAAAGAAAAAAATGTGACTTCCAAATCATTTTATCTTTGTACAATGTTTTAGCATAAGATTTTTAAACCTCGAATACATTGAATTGGTAGCTTTACCTGGATTATCAGCCCTGAATCTAATAGCAGTCCATCCCCCAGCTGGGACACCAATTGTATTTCTCTCCACAGGATCAACAAGGTTAAATTTTTTGGTGTCATTTATGGGATTGAAATTCCCTTGTCCCTTACCAACTACAAAGAAATTGAAGCCATGAAGATGAATAGGATGGTTCTCAGGTGCTATCATTCCAGTATCTTGCAAGACTAATTGAACTGTAGAGTTGTAAGCAAGTCTATAGAGTCTTGTCCCTCTCATGGTCATGAAATTTGGTGGTTGTGTCCCTGTGAAGTTATAGACTATAGGAGGATTTCCAGGAAAATCATATGTGAAAACTCCCTTAATGTTGAAGAAATGTGCTTGAAGAAGAGAAATTTTAGGCATCACAAAGGTGACATTGTTGATATCTGCTACTACCCGACTTCCATTCACACAAGTAGCACAAGGGTTGATACCAAGACTAACAGTGAAGAGCAAGTTATGGTCAATCTTTAATGGGACTCTTGCAGGGTACTTTTTGGAGTTTAAGCTTCTAAGGGAGTTTGTAAAACTAGTAGCAAGTAAAGTAGCATTTTTAGGAGGCACTGAAGTGGGGGTGGTGATAGTGGAACCAAGGGTGCCTGAATAGTGTAAAGTGGCAGTGGCAGTGTTGTTGTCAACTGCAATAGGAGCATCCATGAAAGGAGATGCTGCAACCAAGTATTTGCCAGTTGCATGTTCAGTTGTTAGAAGCACATTTGTGGTTTGGCCAGGTGCTATAACAATGGTATCAGTTTTGAAAGGTTTTGTGTAGGTGGCATCAACCTCAACAACAATGAGTTTATGGTTAGCAATCTTAAAGAAGAGCTCTTCATTGAGTGCAGCGTTTATGATTCTTAGCAAGTAGGTGTTTCCTGATTGAACTTTGAATGTGAATCCTCCTGAACTTGAAAAATACTAATTAGTTTCATGTTTGGAGTTATTAATTGAAAACTAAACTTTTCCATTTTATTTTAATTTTAATTTTTAATTACCAAGTACAACTTGTTAATTTCAAGATTTGAGTCACATTGGCTTAGTCTAATTACATTAAAAGTTATAAAGCTTAGTTCTTGGGTTCACCTTGTGAAGCACAACCTTGAACAGGTCCTGGGTGACCATTGATTGTGTGGGCATCTGAGACATTAGGGGCCAACCCAGATTTCAAAGCTTCATTTATTATAGCCTCAGTATCTGATTTCCACCATTCACCTGAACCAAATTGAAATATTATTATTTGACTAATTAAGGTTCAAAGGAAAACATTTATTATAGCCCTTTTTTTCTCTAATTTATGACCATACAACCAAAAGAGTAAAATATTTAATATCATAAGAAAAAGGTAGTTGAACTAGAACTTACTCAATATGATAACTTGTTCCATACGGGGTTTGGGAAAAGGGTAAGGAACTCCAAGCTTAGGCAAGATGACCAATGCACCATGGACAGTGGCCCTAAGCCAGAGGATATGTGCATGCCACCAAAGTGTGCCTCTCTGGCCTGTAAGGGTGAAGTTGTACATATAAACCTGGCCCGGTTGAATTGGACATTGGGTTATGTATGCTGGCCCATCGGCCCAGCCCGTTCGCAGTTGTCTAACCCCATGCCTATTCAATTTTAATTCATTAATAATTTTTACGAAAAAGAAAAATAAGAAAAAAATTTGAGATTAGAATGATGAGAAACTCTAGCACACTCACCAGTGGATGCTAACATTGTATTTGACATGGTTGACCACCTTAACAAGAACAGCGTCATCTTCCCTAGCATAGATGGTAGGACCTGGAAACTTTCCATTTATGGTGACAATGGGCTTGTTTGAACACAATCTTGTGGCATTCTTCAGCACCACCTGTACAGAACTTCAACCAATTAATAATAGTCACCTTGTCTAGAAGAAAAATGTGTAACTACGTACATCAAATGATGGTAGATTAGTTGATAATACGAAACTAAGTAAGTAGGAGTGAGATCATGTGTTCGATTTTCCTTAGTATCACCTTTAGAAGGGATTAAAACTTTAATCTTTGAACCCATCACAAATTGGATTAGTGACAAAATGATGAACTAATTGAAATATTTAAAAAATTAAAAAATAAAATTGTAACTACAACGTCTACCGAATTTAAGTGCCTTCCCTTGCTCAACAATTCAACACCCACCTTGCTGTTTGGTGTGTCTGTATATATATATATATTGTTAAGCTCTCGTGGCTTATTCATCCTGCTTGTGTCAACTACGAAAAATGTACTACTTCTGAATTTTTTTAACCAAAATATGCATCAAACATAAATATTATAGTAAATGGTTTTTAATTACTTGAAGTCAAATCATATACCTACCTATCATCGAATTTTTAATATATTGTCTATTGACGAGAAAAAAATAATCCTATATATACAATTCGTCTCTTTGTGGGTTTTTCACTTCAATCGAAGAATCCTGGGAACTAGAGAAAGTTGTGTCACCGAACTTTTTGTCCAGAGAAATTCATGAATCAGAAACTGGCCTTGATTGGGTTATGGGAAAGTTAATGTAAGAACAAAAGATGCAATCATTGACATGGATATTTGCTGGGGGTCATTTTTGGCTAGCTATTTATCACATTTGATGGACATTCATAAGATAATTAAGTTTTCATTGGGTCAATCTCAAGAAGAATTATGAGATGAGAAGTTTGAGTAGAAGTCTTTAATTATTATTTTTTCTTTTTTATAAATGAATTTTTATTTTAATTAAGATAACAACAATAACAAAAAAGGACAAACATTATTTGTAACTCATGGAAGATCAAATTAATTAAAATTTCTCACAAGAGCTGTTATATAATTATATTCTTCAATAAATTAAGAACAACTCCTCTAGCCGGTAGCAGACAAATATATAACTGATGCAAACAGTAATTGATTATTAAAGATCAATTCTTAGTTGTTATTTCATGATACTAATCCTTAGCTTGCACATTATTACATCTTCAACATTTGGTGCACTAAGAGCTGGCTTGCAAAAAATATTGAATTTAGGCTACTGAACCTCATTTCATATATATACTAGCCAGATTTAGTCAGAATCTACTTACCCGACTTCAAAATTCAAAAAGATAATGCTATGGCATACTCTTGCATTTGAAGGCTTGAGCTTTTTCATTGTTAAAACATGTCGTGCTTCATTATTTTAAAATTTCAGGACATGAAAAACAAGGGAGCTAGAGAGAATGAAATTTACGAATGCACCCTTTTTAAAGAAACAATTAGATTCACGAGAACATTTTCGGTGCATCCTTCGGTGCACCCGTCGTAGGTGCACCTTCTATTCAAAAAATGACATATGAATAATTTTTTCTTTCTTTTTTCCGTACAACTTATACCTCATCTCTCCACTTTTTATTGGCTCATCGCACTGAATGAATGGTAAGACAGATGTATCTTAAAAAATGTCTAGATTCAAGAGAGAGATGCAATGAAATAATAAAATAAAATGTATACTATGTTCATTTTGATTTCATTTCATTTCCTCTTTCACCACTTATTTTCCAATGTAAATTTAGCAAACTTCATTGCATATATAAGCTTTGCATGAATAAAGTAATAAAAAGCAAATAATGCACCTACATTGAACTTGTAGTGGCGAACCATGGCTTCAACATATAGTGGAAGCAAGCATGCTGCTAGAAATAGTATGATTCGAATCCCCATAGCTGCCATGGCCACCCCTTTGAGTTCTCTATGGTTATTCTCAACACAGATGCTGCTAGTAACTCTCTTGAATGCAATGCAAGATTGAGCAACAAGGGCATCCTTATAAAGAGTTACTCTTTGCTGCAATGTCCCTGTTAATTAGTTGGTTGAAGGAATAATTAAGATGTAAGGTCTATGTTAGAAAGTACAAATAACTCAAAATAAAGAGGGAAAACTAAAAAACTGTTCACAAATTTTGTTATTTTTCTTGTATATTACATAAAGTAGTTGTTGTTGTTGAATTACATAAAAGTAGTTATCCATCAACCAGGACAACTTTTGAAGCTAAGCTAGTTAAGTTTCTGGGATGATGTCTATTTTCTTTTCCTTTCTAATGCACTAAGTGATCAATTCAGAAGCTGGTTTTGGTCCATCCAGATGGAGTAAAGTACAACGATTCTCAACTAACATATACCAATTGATGAAATGGACGTGTACAGTTTTCTACCTGATTCATGACATGGAACACATTAAGAATATAGCCCCTTAAATATACATACTGTAACTTTTAGTTTGTGTAGGGAAATTGTGGCAATTGGTTGTTAGAAACCTAATATACCGCAAAATAACCACCTTTTGAAAATTAATCTCATACATGGTTATGGTGAGTGGTAAATTGACAAAGTTCATTTGTAATTTGGTTCTCCTTCGATTTGGCAACTGTCTACCTTTTTTTTTTCACTAAACAAAAAGTGTTCATTTATTGAAGAATATCGGTTCATTTTCTGTAATAAAAAAAATAAACCGATTTTTTCAAATATAATTTCTAATTATTTCTGTTGCAAAAAATTTATATATATATATATATATATATATATATATATATATATATATATATATATATATAGGGATAGTTTATTCTACCTATTTTTTATCTGTCTACCTTTATTTACCACTCTCCAACACCATTAGATCAGAATCTAAAGAGAAGAGAGAAAGATAAATGTTAATTAAAATTCTAATCTAATAGTCTTTTAAAGTGGTAGACAAAGGTAAGCAGAAACTGAACAAAGGTAGGAAGAAAAAAAGTAGGTAGAATAACTTATCCCATATATATATATATATATATATATATATATATATATATGAGGAAGGATTTTTTTACAATTTTCTTTTACAAATTACACTAAGTCTGACCGCTCATATACTCCCGATTGAAATATAACCGATAAGACAGACATAGTATAATTTATAAACAAAAAAGTTTATAATATATTAGGTTTCTAACAACCAATTGCCACAATTTCCATGTTACAAACTAAAAGCCACAATTTCCATATTCTTAATGTGTTCCATGTCATGAATCAGGTAGAAAACTGTACACGTCCATTTCATCAATTGGTATATGTTAGTTGGGAATCGTTGTACTTTACTCCATCTGGATGGACCAAAACCAGCTTCGAATTGATCATATATATATATATATATATATATATATATATATATATATATAGGGGAGGGATCTTTTGACTCTAAAGTAAGACTTACAATTTTTACTCCTCATCTCAACCGTTGATTTCCGTCCATCCAACGGTTATCTATAACAATTAATTAATTAATTATTTCAAATAAATAATAACTGTTAGATGGACGGAAATCAACGGTTGAGATAGAGAGTAAGAGTTATAAGTCTTACTCTAGAGTCAAAAGATCCCTCCCCATATATATATATATATATATATATATATATGTATATATATATATATATATATATATATATATATATAGGGTTTGGTGTTTGTCATTTTAAATGACATAAGTTATGTTATTTTAGGAGAGAGATAGACACAAAAAAATAGAAATCATGGGAGAGAGAAAATGAGTGGCTTTTTTTAATTTAAAATTCAAATTTTCTGTGTCTGTATCTCTCTTAAAATGACATAACTTTCTGTCATTTAAAATGACAAACACTTTTCTCATATATATATATATATATATATATATATATATATATATATATATATATATATATATATATATATATATATATATATATATATATATATACATACGTGAAAGCATTAAATATGAAAAATCAGAATCATACAAAAGATAAAAGCATTAAATGTGAAGAATCATAACTATTCACCTATCATTATTGTACATAAAGCGGCTATAGAAATGATTTTACCTATATATATATATATATATACGTGAAAGCATTAAATATGAAAAATCAGAATCATACAAAAGATAAAAGCATTAAATGTGAAGAATCATAACTATTCACCTATCATTATTGTACATAAAGCGGCTATAGAAATGATTTTACCTCTATATATATATATATATATATATATATATATTTGGGAACATAATTATGCACAATTATTTTTATTTTTATTTTGCATAAGAATTATGCACATTCTTAACTATTACAAATGTGAGTGCTACATATTTAATTCCTGAGCACTTGTTTAAAGAAGCATTGATTAATTATTGTCATTATAAACTTAAGCTATATATTAAGATGAAATTCATATTTTTGAAGCACTCAACTAAATTTGAACAATAGAAGCTAGCGAAAAATTTAGTGAAAGTGGGTGAGCCAATTTAAAATAATAACTCTTGCAATTAAAAAAAAAATTTAAAAAGGTTGTATATGTGAAGCTTATATATTTAACCACTCAACAAATTTGAACAATTGAAGCGAGCGAAAAATTTAATGAAAGTATGTGAGCAAGTTAAAATAATAAATCTTGCAATTAATAGAAAGAATTAAAATAAATTGTATATGGGGGGGGGGGGGGGGGGGAATATGATTAGGGGTTTAAAAAAAGAAAATAGAAGATATTTTAAGATTTTTATATTATTAGAATAAAGTAAATTTTTTAAAGGGAAAAATTCATTTTCACCCATAGTGGTTTTGTGAGTTATCATTTGATCTCCCGTGGTTTTAAACTTATCACTTGGACCCATTGTGTTGAAATAATTTATCATTTAACTCCCAGTGGTTTCAAATTTTCACTTAGACCCTTGTGATTACAAAATTTTTCACTTAGACCTCTTGTGGCTAAAAAATAAAATAAATAAAATAAATTTTCTCTCTTTTTTATTTTATATCATCATCTAATGCATTTAGACTTTAAAAAATATTTCAAGTTATTTATTCTGAAATTAATTTATAAATTATCTTAATTTTTTTTATTTTAAAAATATATTTGAAATTAAAAATATTATTTAAGATAAATTAAATATGTCTTATCAACTTAAATAATGTTATAACAATATCGGGTAAAAATAGATAAAATAGTAAATAAAATAATATTTAATTTGAATTTATTTTCTTGATAAGAATAAGTGATTTTTTATTTTGTATATTTATTTTTTAAACCTTAAATTCCCTGGGTGAGTATATAAAATAAAAAAGAGGTGTTCTAAAAAAAAAAAAGGAAAAATTTATTTTAAGTATTTATTTTCAAAATTTTATTTTTGTAACCACAAATGGTCTAAATGAAAATATTTGTAACCATAAGGGGTCTAAGTGAAAATTTGAAGTCACATGTGGTTAAATGATAAATTATTTAAGCACAATAAGTCTAAGTGATAAGTTTAAAATCACAGGGTCAAATGATATATCACAAAACCACAATGTGTGAAAATGAAGTTTTCCCTTTTTTAAAATATCCTTTATTTTTTTACATATCTCAAAAGAGCATTATTTTAGAGTTACAGGAGATTTGAGAGAGAGAGTAGATTTTTTTTGAAACTTCGACCTTTCACTATATAAAAGAAGGGAAAACATTTTTCTATGTCGTAGAAGAGTTGTTTTCTCTTATTAGTGACATTTCGATTTTCGTGCAATATTTTTTTTACTTTTTTAATTTTTAATAGATGTGAGCCCTACACAAGATGTGTCTACAATATGGAAAAAAAAATTCCTATGACATGAGAAAATCGAAACTCATAAAAAAAAGAGTTCATATTCCTAATTACTCCTAATTACGTAATTACATTGGTAATAACAAAGGAATTTAATAATGGGCTCCTTCTTCCTTGGACCGGCCCAGTTATCACCCTTCTTTTACTTCTCCAAGTAAGTTGGCCTTCTTTTAATTTGATTGGGTTTCTTCTTATTGGACTGATCCGCAACATTGCCCACCCTATCGGAAACAACATTGCTTCTCCTTATGCGGTTGGAGACGTTGGGAGCCCTGCAAGCATAATTGACACACGTGACACGTCAATTAATGTTTATAAAACAGTTCCTTGTAATCGAAACAGAGTTATAATATTTAATATCGTCGACGTTGATAACTCCCAAACAAACAATATGTAACCTTTATAATTTTTAATATGTAATTAAGATAATTCAATGTTATTATTTATGTTATTGTAACTTATTATGCATTATGGTAGAGGATCTATAACAGAGATCACATATAGATCTTGTATAGTGAGAATGATAATAGAATGGAAAAAATTATCTGTGCTCTTTTCTTTCTTCTATTTCTATCTCTATAATTCTTCTAATTTTTTATTATTTTACAATACGCTATCAGAGCACGATAGACTCTACGTGATATAATAGTTCTTCTAGTTTTTTATTGTCCTATTACTGCTTGTATGTTGACCTTCAGATTGCATTTTATAGGATTATATGATCGACAAATTTACATAATACTATTTACAAAAAAAAAAAATTACATAATACTATGAAAATAAATTGCAGTAATGTCTCGTACTCGTGAATTCATTATTATATATATATATATATATATATATATATATATATATATATATAGAGGATCCTTTGACATCGGTGTCAAATTTAAAAATTTGACACATCATCTGAGAGCCATTAGATAAAAAAAGATCAATGGTATCACATGCTTACAAATCAGAGTCATTGATTTTTTTTTTATCTAACGGCTATCAGATGAAGTGTTAAATTTTAAATTTGACACTGATGTCGAAGGATCATGCTTATATATATATATATATATATATATATATATATATATATA